TTCTTCCTTTTTTTACTTTTTCTTGCTTTCTTCCTTTCGTTTTTTCCTCCCCCTTCCTTCCTTCCTTCCTTCCTTCCTTCCTTCCTTCCTTCCTTCCTTCCTTCTTCTTTCTTTCGTCAGGGTTTCTCTGTGTAGCGCTGGCTGTCCCCAAACTCACTCTGTAGATCAGGCTAGCCTCAAACTCACAGAGATCTGCCTGCCTCTGCCTCCCGAGTGCTGGGATATGTAGCACCATACCCAGCTTAACCAGTCGTTAATGAGATAAATTCCCAGGAGGCTCACAGACCTGAAATTAAATGACCTTGAACTTGGAGTAAGCCTGTGACTGTCCCGTTGCCTTTGAAAATTTGTCATTTCTTCTAGAAAGAATCCCTGTGAGGCATGAATACCTTTTAGCAGGTGACAAACAACCGCCTCTAGCTCTGTCTTCAGAAGGCAGCTGGTTTCTGAGATGAGTTAAGTGAATGTTTGTTTATGTTGTATTTTTTCTTTTTTTAAACAAACTTTATGAAGCAATAATTCAGATACCATAAAAGCCACCCATTAAAACGCACAATTTAATGGATTTTAATGTATTCACAGGGATGTACAAACTTCCCCAACAATCTGCCTTGGAATGTTTCCTGAAGGAACTCTGCACCCTGTGAGCTCTCCTCAGCCTCTCACCTCTGTCTCTCAGACTAGCCGGCTCTGGTTCTCACCGGAATGGACTCACCCAGAGGTGTGTCTGCTGACCGTTTTTTCCAGTTACAATAAAGGGACTGGGAATGGAGCTCAGTTGGCAGAGGGCTTGCCTCGCACACATGAAGCCTGGTTCAATCCTCGGTACCACACACACTCACACACACACACTCACACACACACACACACTCACACAAACACTGGGTCTGCAGGTGCATGTCTGTGATCCCAGTGCTGGGACATAGAGGCGGGAGGGTCAGGAGTTCAAGACCAGCCTCTGCTGCACAGAAAGTTTAAAGGCCGGACCACACCGACCTTGTCTAAGAAAGGAGAGGAGGAGAAGAGGAGGAGGAAGAGGAGGAGGAGGAGGAGGAGGGGGAGGAGGAGGAGGAGGAGGAGGAGAGAAAGGAAAAGAAAACGTGTTTGCTGCACAGGTGTGACGCTGCCCTTCTTCCTCTCCCAGTGGTTCTGGGCTTGTTTGCTTTTTGTTTGTTTTGTTTTGCTTTGCATCATTGGGGATTGAACCCGACACCCGACACATGCTGGGCAAGCCCTCTACCATTGAGTCCTAGATCCGGTTTTCAGTTTTGAATTTGAGACAAGGTGTCTCACCAAGTTGACTAGGCTGACTCACTCTGGATCCCAGGCAGGCCTTGAACTCGTGGTCTTGCCTCAGCCTCCCGAGCAGCAGGGTGACAGCCCTAGGCCGCCACCCTGGCTGCTACGGGTGCTTTCCCAGCTGAGAGAGCTGACCTTTGGCTCCAGCCACCATCGCCCGTAGATGGAGGAACTTGCTGGCGATGTTTGGGCATCGGCGCTAGGAACCCCTTGCCCGAGCTGCTCTGATTTTGGGGTCTGTTCTGGTCCCCTCACCCTCCCCCTTTGCACCCCAGGCTTGCACTGTGGGAAGGAGGCTGTGAACAAGGTGCAGAGGGGGTGGCCCAGTCCCCACTGTCACCAAGTCCGAGGGATGGGTAGCAGCGGGCTGCCTGCCGCTCCCCGTGTTTCCATCTGGAAGTAGAGCCTACAAGTCTAATTATGCAATTAAAGTCATTTTCCCGGGCTGAACAAATATTTACAGCGTATTTCGCTGTAAATCGCTTCGCCTGGAGAGTAGGCCTGCCACTCGGACTGGCAAACACTGGCTCATTTGCATATCCCATTACCAAGGGGCTCACAGCCTAGCTGGGCCACAGGACCTGGGCTGCATGGGCAGGGCTCTTGGGGGAGAATGTCAGCCACGTAAATGTGTTCTTGGCCCCACTCCGAGGCTGCTGTGGACTCAATGACCCCCGCTGCTCTGCTGTGGCGGCCCCCAAGTCCCCGCTCTACACATTTCAGAGACCTCTGAGCTTTTGTCCTGATGCCGAGGGGACCCAGATGGCTAAGAGAACGTGATTTAGGGACACAGTTTTGTAATAATCAAGAGCCCTCTTTGATCGTGCCCAGCTGCCCTCCTGTCGGGGGGGAACGGGCCTACTGAAGTGGGCTTAGCTTGAGCTCTGAGCCTCTTCTGGGGGGGGCAATCCACTGAGCTTCCTGTAAGAGCCAGGCAGGAAAACTTCAGGATAGGTAAGAAGGCGTGACCCCAGCCAACAGGAACGTCACCTCAAGCCACCATTTGTCCCTGCAAAAGCCACTTTACATCTCTCAAGGGGGCTCACACGCTGTGTTTTAGCAGTTGAGGGGGTCCTCCTGCTCTGACCCAGATACTGGCTTGCAGCAAAGTTCTGGGGGCTTTGGTGGAATAACAGGTTGTGGGGTCATGAGCAAGAGGCACCGTGTACAGATCTGCTGGCAGAAATGGTGGGGCCTGAGCCATGAGTCTAGAGCAGAGGCCAGGTCTCTCCCCTGTGAGGGCAGGTCTCTCCCCTGTGAGGGCAGATCTGGGGACAGACTCTGCCTGGGAAGATTTGGCCTCTTCTTCCATTCTAATGGCTACCCAATGGCCTATTCTGGAAGAACTACAACTTTTTTTCATTAATTCCCGTGACTGGGCTTCTCCAGATGGTCTCCAGACCTCGGCCACGATGGATGCAACTTGGCCTTCAGCTCCTGGATGCTGTCTTAGGGTAGTTGTGAAGTTTTTCTTAGGAAGCAATCTTTACTTTTATTTCCCCTTCCTCCCTCCTTCTCTTTCCCTTTCTTTCTCTTTGGGGATGTAGCCCAGGGCCTCCTGCAGGCTAGAGCTCCGTACGGAGTCAGAAACAAAGCTGAGGGCCACACCTTGGAAAGGCAGACCGGCCGGACTGAGGCTCAGGTCTGGTGAAGGGGAGGGGTGTCTGCGGAAGTTGGGACACTGAAAGAAAGTTGTTCGTGGTCCCGAGTGTCTTCCTTTCCCTGTTCCACGACGTCTGTGAGAGACGAGGATGGGGATGGAGGCCCCGCGGGAGACCAAGAGCCACTCCTGAGCCTCTGCTGCTTATCAGATTTGATGAGAGAGGGGAAAGGCAAGGTCCCACCGTGATACGGCTCCCACTGGGCCACATGGAGGACCTGGAGTAAAGCAGAAATTACTGTCCTCGTAGGGGTCTTTTCTGTGTCACACCCCTTGGTGAATCAGCTCAGTGGACCTCTTCAAACATCCTCAAGAAAATACACATCTACCCATTTTACAGCAGGGGAAGTCGAGGCTCAGAGATCCATCTAAGGGCACGCCGAGAGAAAAGAGGTGGAGCCTCAGTGTGTCTGCTTGCACCCATACTTGATGGGGGATGTCCTTGTGTGTATATGTTTCTCTTATTGGCTGGTAAATAAAACACACTGATTGGCCAGTAGCCAGCCAGGTATAGGTGGGGCTACCAAATGAGGAGAATTCTGGGGAGAGAGATAGAGAGAGGCAGAGAGAAGCCACCAGGGAGTCGCCATGCTGCTGTAGGAGTAGCATGCAGAATTTTGGGTAAGCCACAAGCCTCGCGGCAATACGTAGTCTAATAAAAAAAATGGGTTAATAATTAGGAGGGAGCTGGTCAGTAAGAAGCCTAAGCCATCAGCCAAACAGTTTAAAATTCATATGGAGCCTCTGTGTGCTTACTTGGGACCAGGTGGGACGGAAAACTCCATCCACGCATACTCTCTCACAGACCCCAAGGCCTGCGCTGAGCTGCGCTGTCCCATTCATACCTTACGGGGCTACTACTGACCGGGGAGCGCAGACGAGGTACAATCGGAGACTGTCAGCTAGGGAGGAGGAAGGAACCGGAGGTCAGCTCGGCCGGCAGCAAAGCCGCCCGGAGCCATCACCGCACCCGCTGCACAGACCAGAGCCCCCGCCTCGTGTGGCCCAGTGTGGCCCAGTATTCCTGACAGGGACCCAGATCTAGGGAGCCGTCCAGGCCCATGAGAAGCCCATGACTCTGGTTCAGGAATGCAGTCCTGCTTCACTTTAAAGGGGGCAGGAAGACTGCTGAGTCCCAGCCCTGGTGGACGCTCCCTGGTCTCGGTTCCCCCACCTGAAAGCCACCCTCCAAGTGGAGCCCCGGGGAACTGTGGGTCTGCGGAGGTGTGCTGGGAAGGGAACGTGGGAACGAGCCAGCAGCTGGGTGCGGCAGGAGAGGCTGGAGTGATCGGGCTGCTCCCTGAAAGGAAAACACTCAACTGCAGGGTGAGCGCGCCATATAACACACTATATAAAGTTTATGGTTTGTTTAGACTCTTCTGGAACAACCAATAAAGGAAAGTAGCAGAGAAATCCAGGAAGGGCGCAGGCTGACCCTGAGCCAACCCCTGCCATCTCCTTCCCTGGCAGCCTACAGTGCAGTCAGTATGTTGATTACACCGGAGTGCGATTAATGCTCTTTCTTCTTTTTTTTTTTTTTTTTTTTTTGTTTTGTTTTGTTTTTTCCCCACCCTCTGGGCCCGTGGCAACTGAGAAAAGTGTTGATCGCGGGAGGGCTTCAAGGCAAAGGCCTGTGTCTGTCCACAGCGCACTTGCGGAGGAGGCTGAGGCCCTAGGCTCAAACTCTTGTAAACGCTCACCTTAAGCCCTCTGGATCTTGCAAACGCACAGGCCAGCGCGGAAAGCTGACAAAGAGCGCCAACTAGTGGCACCAGTGAGTTAGCACATGGGAAAACAGGGGCTCGGCTTTCTTCTCTTCCGGTGCCTGCTCCCAGCCTCCTTCCGGTCCGCACTCACCCGCCGCCCTGACAGTTCCCTCCTTTCAGAGGTAGAGCTGTGAAGCTGCGACCCCCCCCCCACCGCCCACCGGGGTCTCGGAGGAGCAGGATCAAACCTCAAGGTTTTTAATAAGAGCGCTCTCCTTTTGCTAGTTCAAGTAAAAAGAAAAAGAAAGAAAGAAAAACAAACAAAGACAATGAAATCCACTTTTTCCTATAAAAGTTTATTTGGTAAATTTTTTCCCCCAAGAAGTGGTCTGGATGCCTATTTCAATTATGTAGAGAACGGTAAGGAAGGGCAGTGTATAAAAATAACTTAAACACACATACTAGCCAACAAAGCAACACATCTCTCTGGTTGCAACTGCAGATAAACTTGCCCAAGATTTTTCCAGAGGCATTAAATAGTTTGTAGACAACGGGACAGACAGGCACGCACACACATACACATACACACACACACACACACACACACACACACACACACACACACACAGCTCAAGTATGTTTTCTGTGCATTTTAGCTAACTGCTACAGCTAAAGTGAAAACCTGGATTCCTGAGAGACCCTGAGGCGGGACCAAAGCCCGCATCATCATCAGAGCAAACCTTGGAGCGCGTGCTGTGATTTCCCCACCCAACCGTGCTAGTCCCCAGCCTGTCCCCTGTGGTGCTCCACTGACTAACAAAAGGTGCCTTTCTGACCTACTCAGCATTGTGTGGGCTTCTCAAAGCTGGGGCAGGCTGGCTTTGGCCTGGCTCCCTGTGCGTGCTGGGAAGGGTGAACGGGGTGAACTCAGAGCCACCCGGGCTGGGATTACATCTGGTTGATCCTTTGCCTCAGGGCTTGGAGCTCCCTCTCAATCTCGCCGGGGAGGTCAGCGTTGACTTGGTCTTCCAGGTACCTACTGATCTCCTCCACCTCCTCCTCCCAGAACTCCCTGGGGATCCCTAGCAGCTCCTTCATGTTGATGTGCCCCAGGCCTTTCAGGTTCAGGGCGTTTTCCTTAGGAATGTAGCCAATGGGCGTGAGCTCGGCGCTGTCCTCCCCTTCGATCCTGTTGAACATCCACTCGAGCACCCGAGAGTTCTCTCCAAAGCCCGGCCAGAGGAACTTGCCATCTCTGTCCTTCCGGAACCAGTTGACGTGGAAGATCTTGGGCAACTTGGCTGCTGGCCGGTGAGCCATGCTCAGCCAGTGGGCTAGGTATTTGCCGAAGTTGTAACCAAAGAAGGGCCGCATAGCAAAGGGGTCGTGCATGATGACCTTGCCTGTTGAGCAGAGGCCGCCATTTGCCTCCGGCTCCCTCAGGCCGGATTCTCTCTCCCCCTCCCTCCACGGCAGACACCAAGAAGAGGGCTTGGAGTGCCTTTCCCAGGGCTGGGGGCCCTGACTCTGACTCACCCTTGTGCTCTGCAGCAGCCGTGGCCTCTGATCTCATAGCTGCTCCCACGAACACGCCATGCTGCCAGCTGAGCGCTTCGTACACAAGCGGCACACCTTAAGCAGGGAGACAACGGTCCTTAGAGGCTTGGACATCCAAACTCTCTAGGACTGTTCAGCCAAGCAGTACCCCTTTTTGGATGAAGAAGTTTCACTCTGTAGCCCAGGATAGCCCCGAACTCGCAGTAATCCTCCTGCCTCAGCCACCCAAGTGCTAGGATTACATGTGTGAGCCGCCCTGCCTGACAAGCAGCATTTTCTGTTGAGTTAGTGTTACGTCTGCAGAGACAATAAACAGGAAGCCACTAAGCCCTTGTCACACCAGAGAGGTTTCTCAGTGAAGTGGCCTATGCTATCTCAGATCACAGATCCAGAAAGGCCACTGGGGAGTCAAAGGCTAGCCCTACATTTAAACTTGTCCAATTAATCTGTATATAGGGCAAGGGAGATCTTTGGAACCAGTTCGGAGAGAAAAGATTCCCTGGATTTCTTTGTATGGCCACACCCTAGGTTCCCAACCTGGACAGAAGTCTCACCTGCAGGTCTACGACCACCAAAGATGATGCCCTCGATGGGCACACCTTCTGGAGATTCCCAGGCAGGGTCAATGATGGGACACTGGCTGGCTGGGGTGCAGAATCTCGAGTTGGGATGGGCACAGGGTTCCTCTGCAAGAGAGGGGGAGAAATCCCTGAGCCTGGGGTCCAGATAGGTGGAGCCCACAATCTAGAGCCCGTGGCCCTGGAGGAGACTCACCATCCTGTGGTCTCCACTCCTTGTTCTTCCAGGAGGTGATGGTGACACCTGGGGCCAGCGGCTCATCGATCCCTTCCCAGTAAACGCCGCCATCGCTGGTCTCGGCCACGTTGGTGAAGATGGTGTTCTTCTGGATGGTCTTAATGGCGTTGGGATTGGTCTTCACTGAGGTGCCAGGAGCGACCCCGAAGAAGCCGTTTTCTGGGTTGATAGCCCGTAAGTTGCCTGGAAAGTCGAGGGCCACGGAAGGAGGTATGAATTGGAGCCGGGCTCACAGAGTTCCTCCCGCTTTGCCAGGCTGCCTCACCTGCTAACTTCCCCTTCTTTCTCCTCCCTCCCTAATCTGCACAACCATCCATTTTGATCCGCACCATAGTCACCTCAGGCTCCCGCAGCAGCGCCCCCCTTCACGTCTGCTGCAGCACAGTCTCGTTTCATTTCCTTATTTATTTTGCATGTGTGTGTACATGTGCATGGGGTGCGGTGTGAGTGTTCCAGGGCACATACATGTATGAAGGTCAGAGGAGTCAGCCCTCTCCTTCTGCCATCTAGGTCCTGGAAATCAAACCCAGGCCTTCGGGCGTGGCGGCAAGTGCCTTTACCCACAGAGTCAGACCCCCAGCTCTGCAGTTCCCTCCCAACAGATGCACGTGCGTAAGCAAACAGCTTCTCACAGTCCTGTCTACCCAGAAGGTCCTCACGAAATGCCTGCAGGTAACACGGCTGAGGCCTTGCTGACTCTGAACTCAAGCGCGCAATGCCCAGTGCCGGGCACTTAGGAGAAGTTGGAATATTTGGAACCAGTCACTCACCAAGGGTCATACCTGTCACCAACCAGACCTGGAGACTCACCTTGGGCATCAAACTTCATCCAGGCAATGTCATCACCCACACACTCGACTTTCCACCCGGGGAGGGTGGGGTTCATCATGGCCAGGTTGGTCTTCCCACAGGCGCTAGGGAAAGCTGCGGCCAGATATTTCTTCTTGCCTTCAGGGTTGGTCACGCCCAGGATCTGCAGGGATAAAGATCACATTCAAATCTCTAACCCTTGACGTGCACTTAGGGAGCTATCACAAGAAAGCCCATTACTCTGTGTCATTCCCACAGTAAAAGAGAAAGACGAGAGTGTGTGTTTGCAACTGGAACATGGCCTGTCTTTCAAATGAACAGAGGGGGGCAGAGGGGGCAGGGAATGAAAAGGAAGAGGTGTGGAACGAGAGGAGAGGGGAAGGGAGAGGAGGAGACGGGAGGAGACGAGGAAAGATTGAGATAGCCCTGTTATCAAGAAATGCAGATCTGCGCCGGGCGGTGGTGGCGCATGCCTTTAATTCCAGCACTCAGGAGGCAGAGGCAGGCGGATCTCTGTGAGTTTGAGGCCAGCCTGGTCTACAAGAGCTAGTTCCAGGACAGCTTCCAAAACAATACAGAGAAACCCTGTCTCAAACCGCCCCCCCCAAAAATAAAAGAAATGCAGATCTGTGGTCCCTCCTGCCCCAGAGGTCTGGGAATGCCCCTGGGGTCTCCCCAAAGGTAGATCCTCAGATCTAGTCCTTGGGTGTCAGGGTTAGCTGATGAGTTGCAAAAAGAATAAAATCTCCAAGGTCACTGTTGTTCCAGTGTGCCTGAGCCCCTCTCAAACTGACACACGCACGCACACTGCCTTGCCTAGCGTCACCTTGGTATTCCCCGACTCTGCCCTCAAGTCCTCAGGTGGAAGAAGAAACTTGCCACGGCTCTCCTTTGCCCCCCCCCCCGCCCTCCAGATCTCTGCCCGCTGCTCACCAGCATGTGCTCTGCCAGCCACCCTTCCTCCTTGGCCAGCCGGCTGGCGATCCGCAGGGCGAAGCATTTCTTCCCCAGCAGCGAGTTCCCGCCATATCCGCTTCCGTAGGAGATGATCTCCCTGCGGTCCGGGAGGTGGGCGATCAGTGTCAGCTCCGGGTTGCAGGGCCAGTTGTTGACCAGAGGCTCTGAAAAAAAAAAAAAACAAGCACCCGTGAGTGCACGGGTGGGCGCTGCTGCTCAGGTCTCAGGGCTGGCCCGGAACCAGCTGTGGAGCCGAGAACGGCATGGAACGTCTGGTCCTCCCGACTCCACCCCCTGAATGCTGGGGGTGATCGGGCCTCTCTCTCCAGGTTCGGTTTACCTGGTGTCTGGGATCGAGCTCAGGCCTCGTGCGTGCGTGCGTGCTAGGCAAGCACTTCACCCGCCGAGCCACACCCCCAGCCCTCCACTTAGACTTTTGATTTGGAAAGAGCACACTTACTTTTTAAGGGAAGAGGGCACCCCACAGAGTGGAGGCACTTGACAAACTCCCCACTGCCTAGGGCCTCCAAGACAGCTGTCCCCATCCGTGTCATGATCCGCATACTGGCCACCACGTAGGGTGAGTCTGTCAGCTCTATGCCAATTTTGGCCAGAGGTGAGCCCAGTGGCCCCATGCTGAAAGGGACGACATACATGGTGCGACCTGCAGAGACGGATGGGTGGAGTGGGGAAGACGTTACAGAGGCTCACAAGGCGTCCTCACACCAACTTCCTGGAGGTACCCAGAGTCTCCCGCGTCATGTCCTGTTGGCCACCAGACTCTGGTTTGCCAAAATTAAAGTTTTCATCACCCTCCCATTTGGTTGCACTAAAGCTGCTTTAAGTTCTGTTTAAACTATTTTCTGTTTTATCTGTTTGATATTACTTATTGAGCCTGAGGCCTTGCAGATTCTAGGCAAGCCCTCTACACTGAACAGCACCCCTGTTCAGTTGTTATTTTGAGACAAAGTGTAAGCCGCCCAGGCTGCAAGTTTGAATCCTCCTGCCTCAGTTTCTCAGTGTCTGGGATGACAGGCCCGAGCCACCAGGACTAGCAGAGAGCACTCTAATATCCCTGTGTCACCATCCCCCCAACAGCACCGGGAAGTACTTTTTCATATCTGGCCATCCTATGCAGCGTGGGCCACCATTAGGAACATCAACTATGTGAAGCTTGGGGTTCAGGGCCCCTCACCTTTCATGCACCCCGGGAACCTGGCGTTGAAAGCTTTCTCAAAGTCCCCTTCGGACATCCAGCGGCCCAGCTGGCTGAGGCCGGTTTTGGGGATGGGCACTGTGTCTCTCTGCTCTTGGGTGATGATGACCGTCTTGCTTTCAATCCTGGCTACATCCCTGGGGTCAGTCAGAGCCAGCCAACTAAAAAGAAAAAGAGACAGATGTTATTTCAGCAAAGCGTCCTTAGGGATGGACCCCTCTTGCCCACGTCAGGGTCTTCCAAGTCTAGCAGGACACAAGGACACTAGCCAAGCCCCTCAAATATGGGAGCCAAGTCAACAGGGACTTGATCAGGTTGACATTTGCTAGACCGTGAGCTGGCCCTGGGGAAAGGGACTTCTTCCATGGTTATCGAGACTCTGGTGATTGTATTAAGTTTCTCAGGCATTTGCTAATGACTCCGCCCTGGGGAAAGGGACTGTCTTCCATGGTTATGGAGAATCTGGTGGCTGGCTATGAAACCTCACAGGGTGTCTGGACTCTGGTGATTGTATTAAGTTTCTCAGGCATTTGCTAGGACTCCGATAACGACACTGGGGATGCTGTGGCCTAAGGGGACTCACCAATTGTCATATTTCCTCAGCTTGCGGATGATGCCCTCCTCCTGCATGTGGTCCAGCAAGCGCCCATACTCCTCTTCAGAGCCGTCACAGATGTGGATATGCTCCGGCTGGCACAGCTGGGCACTGGCTTCCACGAACTCCCTCACTGCCTGAGACAGGCTGTCGAGGCTGCCCTGGATGACCTTGGCAGAGAAGTCCAGCCCGTTGTGCAGTTGAGGAGGCATGTTTGCACCTGTGTGAGAGAGCAGGGATTCCTGGGTCACCTGAAACAGAAAAAAGAAGCTCCTGAACAGTGACTCCCATGGGCTCCTTCCAGACCCTTCTTAGACTTTGCATGGGTTGTACGTGGCCAGGGAGCTGTGGTCGTCAGGGTACAGGAAGTGAGCCATCCCATCGCCGATGTTTTAAGAAAGGCTAATGAGACGAAATGACTCTACCTACCTTCCTTCCTTCCTTCCTTCCTTCCTTCCGGAAGGCCTGGGTCAGAGATGGGAGGGTGCTTTGCCGGATTTTCCCTGTTGACCGAGGGCGTGTCCCAGAGGGAAGGCCGCCTGTGCCTGATAGCCAGCCTCCTCGCCTTAAATACTATGCAGAAGGGTGGACAGCCCGGCCTCTCAGCTGTACCCGGAGGCTCGCCTCTGACGTAAGCGGCAGGCCTTTGGATCATAGCCACAGTCAGCAAGGTTTGGAACCAACTTAACACAATAAACCCCAGGAAGATAATGATTGAACTCCGTGTTGTTAATGAATGTTGGGAGGCCTCAGGCCCCTCTGTCTGCCATAGTGATTCCTTACACAACATTTGATTGACTAAACTTTGACCCTGCCTCTTGCTGATGCAAACTACAGTCCCTTTTCTTGATCGGTAGGTAGAGGTCAAGGACAGGGTTAGCTGGGGCACCTCCTGGACTTCATATGTTGCTGGCAGCACATTTTGTGTGCCAGTGGCTGCTGGTTGTCAAAACACTGTGAGGTGTCACCCTCATGGTCAAAGGTCATGAGAAGAAAACTCTAGCTCTGAGACACTCACCTTCGAGACAAATATCTGTTAACAGCCCAGTTAGCTGGAGCCTGGTGGATTCTCTGGCTACTCCAGAGGGTATGGGCTGCCTCAGGCTTTGTTGTAGGGGGACAAGGCCTGGCACAGCCATCACTAATACAAGCATACTGCTCCCTGCTTTCGAGTTTCATGTCAGCTCATTCTTTACTACTGCCGAAGTGGAAAGATGACAACTCTGGGTGCAGGCGGGGAAACTGAGGCAGAAGGATCAATTAGCGGGCCCCAGCTGGCTGGTTAGAGCCAGAAGGCTGTGCGTACAGTCAGCTACAGAGTACCACGGGGCCCCTTGTAAAGTACCATTGCCTTTTCTAGACCTTCAGCACGTTCTTCAGGAAGTTCTGGGCTAGACACAGTCACCCTTGCCGCTGCCTGGATACTTCTTGCCAGTCTGGGAGTCTAGGGAAAAGAAGGGGGGGCTTGGCAGTTCTCCTGGGTCACACTTGAGCAGCAAGACCTTTGTCACAGTCGTGAAGAATCCTCTCTGCAACCCACAGACCTTCATTCCAATTGAAAGAGCCTCGAGCTCGCTAGTTTAGAGAGAAGTGAGCGAGAAGGCAATGGAAACAGGCCAATGGCCAGGCCCAGCTGCCCACAGCTGGCCCCAGAGGAGATTGCAGGGGGTTGGCCCACAGGCAACTCTGTGACTCGCATTACTGAGGCCTGTGTCAGATTGGAGGCGCATTTAAGGGCCATCCAGGCAGAGCCCTTTGGGGCTCGGCTCACTCTGCAAGGCTGTGTGATAGCGTTTGCCTCCTGCACCCAAATCACCACTTCTCCCAGGTTCATTGCGGGGGGGGGCTTTTCACGTCAGTGCAGAGGAAGGTGCTTCCTACTCTGGTCTCCAAGACTGCTCATGAGGAGGGGGGTGGCCTCACCCTAAGCACACTGTGTTGTGTCTAAACCCAGCCTGTGTGTCTGGTTCAGTAGCCAACAGGCCTTTCTCCGAGTGGGCCAAACCAGCCATTCTTCTAGTGTGCACTTCCTCTGCTCTTCATGGCCAAGCCCCATTCCGTTGCTAGGTGTGAGTTCCTGGAAGGCTGAGTTGAAAACAACCCGGAGACCAGAGCTGGGGTCCTGCACACATCCGAGGTACCTCTGCTGTGCATCTTCTGCGAGGGACATAGCTAGTCCAGTGATGGTGGAGGAGCAGGGATCCCCATGACCTTCCAATGAGTCTGTACCCCACATGCACTGTACAGGGAGGCAGTGGCACCCGTGCCATGCCTCGTCAAAATGTCACAAGGCAGGTAGATGCTGGGCTACAAAATGACCTGGAGGTTCATGGTCCTCCAGAAGAATTGAGATACAAACAGAAGGTAAAGTGTCCTCACCCCAGCCGAGGGCACCTGGGGACCCGTGCTTCCTTTTCTTTGGTGGTTTCTGGCCCACAAGAGGCCTCACGGGGCAGCCCTCCTGCCCCCTCCCCAGGGAGGGTTGTGAAGCAGCTCACCTTCCTACTGCTTCATCTTGAATAAACCTCCAAGGAAATCCTAGGAGCTGATCTCCAGCTGCCCTGCTGTGGTTCCCAGAGAGTCCTGAGCCCATTTATGGGGATGCTCAGTGCTTGGACAAGTGGGGGCCAGGACCTCCCACTGGGTGGGAATTTCTCATGTGGTTTCTCACACAGACGTGTGGAGACCCCCACGCCCCCAGACGTAAGCCCACGTTTCCTTAAGTCAGGACAGCTTTCTGCCAAGTGTGCACTTCCTTCCCAATGTAAAGCTGCTTTGGAGAGAAAAGAGGGAGTCCAGACACCCAGAAACAGATTCAAAATTAGCCAGCATTCTCTAGAGTAAAAGAACTTAATATATATGTTATACATGTGTATGGAATTTTTTTTTTTTTGGTTTTTTGAGACAAGGTTTCTCTGTGGTTTTGGAGGCTATTTTGGAACTTGCTCTAGTAGACCAGGCTGGTCTCCAACTCACAGAGATGCACCTGCCTCTGCCTCCCCAGTGCTGGGATTAAAGGTGTGCGCCCGACTCGTGTATGGGATTTTTTGAAATGACTTACAGCCATCCCAACAATGGTTAGCTGTGAATGGAAAGTCCAAGACTCCAGTAGTTGCTCTGTTCATGAGGCAGGATGTCTCAGCTGGTCTTCTGTCCATGAGGCAGGATGTCTCAGCTGGTCTTCTGTACGTGCAGGGATCCTGAAGAAGTAGGCTGTAAGGTCAGCGAAGGGATAGGTGTGCTGACCAGTCAAGGACAGACAGACAAACAGCAATAGCTTCCTTCTTCCACTGTCCTTATACAGGCTTCCAGCAGAAGGCGCAGCCGGCATCAAAGGTGGATGTCTTTACGGGAGGTGATGGCACATGAGTTTAATCCCAGCGCTCAAGAGGCAGAGGCAGGAGGATCTCTGTGAGTAGTTCAAGGACAGCCTGGTCTACAGAGTGAGTTCCAGGACAACCAGGGCAATCAGAGAAACCAAAGAGAGAGAGAGAGAGAGAGAGAGAGAGAGAGAGAGAGAGAGAGAGAGAGAGAGAGAGAGAGAGAGAGAACCCCTGCCAGGTATGGTGTAATCTAATACCCAGGCAGCAGAGGCAGGAGGATGGTGAGTTTGATCCATACAGTGGTCCTGTGGGGGGAAAAGGCTGCATACACTTGACCCGTCGCCATGGCCACAGCCCACATCCTGTGGGAACATCAGTGACTGTATTTGCATCCAGACTAGGATCAATAATGATGACACAGACAGTGGCTATGGACTCTGAGGTCACAAGAGCCTTCCCAGATGTGCTTATACATGTCCCCAGGGGAGATAGACCGACATGGCTGACCCATACATTTAAGGAGTCATTTAAACCCAAGGACCCTGAGTCTCCGAGCATGGTCTGGCTCTCCTCATGCCCCTGGCCTTCTGGGCAGGTCAAAGGGAAGTTGTTGCCCAAAGAGTGCTGGGCAGTGCTGCAGCCTGGTCGTTTCTCCAGGCAGACTGCCTCCAGGACTCTGGAAGAGGGCGGCAGAAAGTCTCACAGAATAGAGCAGTCAAGAAGCAGTCTGAAGGCCATGGCTGTGCCTCTGTTGGTAGAGTACTTTACTAGAATGCACAAAGTCCTGGGTTCAATCCCCAGCACCCCATAAATTAGACATGGTGGTACACACCTGTGATCCCAGCATTTGGGAGGTGGATGCAGGAGGATTGGACATTCAAGGTCACCCTTTGCTACATAGTAAGTTCAATATCAGACAGAGTGGCACGAGACCCTGCCTCAAAAAAAAAGGCAATCTAGCCCTGGCCAGGTCCCACCAAAATGCAACAGCTGTGATAGATAGATAGGTAGGTAGGTAGATAGATAGATAGATAGATAGATAGATAGATAGATAGATAGACAGACAGACAGACAGACAGACAGAGGCTATAGGCAGTGACTATATGCCAGGCAAATCAGAAAAAGAAGCACCATGTGGAGTCCCCTGTGCAGAAATCTGATGAGTGATGAGTGACTAGGGCATGCTTTACAAGCTTTGGTTTCCTGGAGGCCAACAAAAGAGCATGTAACCCACAGCAGAGCCTCCTCTGTGTTTGGAAACTAGAGGAGTCAGGGGCTGTAGATTTGAGATGGCACCCTCAGGGCTGGGGTATCCCACCAAGCCTCCTCCAGAGGAGACCAGAGAGACGTTCTTAGTGTCCCCTTCATTCACAGAACCTGACTCCCCCAGTGTAACCTTCCGGCTTTCACTCCAGGTCTTGGTGTGTGAAGGATTTTACACCTAGGAAATCTACTCATCAACCAGGGTTCGAGCCTTGCCCTCCGTCTCCCCAAGCTGCACCTCTCACTCTTAGACCACAAGCCCCCAGGTCACCTTTCCCGTGGATGGAGGGGTGCCTCCCTCCCTACATGGATAGCAAGGTAAGGCAGCTACCAAGAGGCCACTCTGTTCAGGGACCTGAGCTCCTAGGGACTCCTACTGGCAAAGCTAAGGCTAACTGTTTTTGTTTGTTTGTTTGTTGTTGCTGTTGTTTTTCTAGATGGAAGCAAGAAACAGTGTGGATCGCACACACCAGAGCCAAAGGCGTCTTCACAATCCCCTGAGATCTCTACTGCACGTGGGCTCCTGGAGGGGCACCTGGCTGGCCTTTCGGTGGAAGTTCCCGACAGCAGGAAAACACTGCAGCCTGGAATCATCACCAGGGTGATTCAGGTCATCCACCTCAACT